ATGTTGTCTATCCCACGCTTTTCTAGCTTATCAAGAAGTAGGCTGTGGTCTACTTTGTCTTACTGAAATCTAAGTATATTATGTCCACAGCATTTCACTTGTCTACTAATTTAGTCGATAGTAGACAAAAATGCCAAATCCAGTCTGAACATCTGGCTGACTGTGCAATGATTAATAATAATAATAATAATAATAATAATAATAATAATAACAACAACAACAACAACAACAACAACAATAATCAAACATCCACATCTGCCTATCCCAGGTAGACAAAAATGCCAAATCCAGTCTGAACTTCTGGCTGACTGTGCGATGATCAATAATAATAATATCACACAGTCAAACCTCACAGACTGGGTTTGGCATTTTTGTCTACCTACTGAGTTCTTACCAAGGACCTAGGATAGGCAGATCTGGATGTTTGATGGTATTACAGATATCATCAAGGATAGAAGCTGTTTCCAGTAGAGCCACCTTTTGCAATTGACTGATGGGTGAATTTGTCAAACCCAATGGTGTTCAAGTGGTGCTACAGTTGTTTTGGGATTGCACCCAAGATATCTATTATAATTAGTACTACCCTTGCTTGCCTTTGCCACAGTTGTTCTATTTCTATTTGTACATCTTGGTATTTTGTTATCTTCTCCAGTTCTTTCTCTTCTATTCTGCTGTCTCCAGGCACTGCGACATCCACTATCCAGGCTTTTTTGTCTTTCTTATCGACAACTGCTAAATCTGGAGTGTTATAAGGGTGGTATTATTATTATTATTATTATTTATTCATTAGACATGAACCTCAGTCAATTGAACATTCAAATTGGCTGGCGCTGATGGTTGACACGGGTTGCTACCAACATCCTAGGTGTCAACTAGGTACCTCCTTAAAATATAAGATGTTCTGAGTAGCGCGGTTTTTTGTAACATTGCTGAGTTATTGCAGGAAGCAATAACATTATATTAAGCATTATTATTATTATTATTATTATTATTATTATTATTATTATTATTTTGTCGCTTGCTGCCTATCTCGCCATGGGGCTACTGTAGGTAGCTCACAACCAAATCCCCACAAAGAAATAAAAAGGACGATTAAATAAAATGAAAGTAAAGCAACTAAGGAAAAAAAACAAAGAAAAAGAGAACAAGGAATAAAGTAAAAAAAAAAAACATGCTTGCTTTTTGGTGGGAGGAGCTTCACTATTTATTGCTTCTTCATACAGTACAGATTTTACTAACTTAGCAAAATGAGAAATTCTTTTTCAGGATTCATCAACGTTCCACCACTTTCATACTCACAAAGCATTCCGCAGCATCATCCATAATGCCTAGCTGGAAACGCTGCTCATCCTGAAACGTCTTTGCGAGAGCACTACGAAGAGCATCAGAAGGTAACACTTTGTCATTGCTGCACTGGAACTGGTTAAAGATACCCTAGATGGATTAAAACACAGAAATGTTAAAGTGCTCAAATTATTTTTACCCATACTGACAAAGAACCAAAAATAAGTATGCTTGCCAAATTGTTAACACAGACTATTCTTGCTATTCTGGGAGGATGGAGACTAGCTATTTATTGTCTATGTAAGATCCCTTGAGATACTTACGCTAATACTTAGCTGTTTTATTAAGGCTAAATATATACAATTCTTTTAATTCCTTCCCAGGATACTGTTTCTAATCCTATGAAAACGCCATTGCCCTTCTTTATTTTAGTTTTTCTAGTCCTTTAATTATGTTATGCAGAACAGGTCAACAAGAACTAGACTTCTCATAATTTGGAATCTATACTTCAAGTGCCTCCATTTGCACTTGTCTTTTTTGCAGTCAGACCACACTTGCTAATATATATAATTCATTCTACTTTTTTTAACCAGTCAGTAGTCCTTGAAATGCATTTCTGTCTTTAGGGTGTTACAACATTGCACCCAATTTACTATTACTTGCAAATTTAAATATTTTTTAAAAAAAGAAAAATACTTGTTATTTGCAGGGGGGGTGGCATGTCACAAGTAGCATTGTCATCTTTGGTATTTTCCAAATTTTTGAAACACCAAGGCCAAAAAGTTCGCCATTACTGATCTACAAATACACATAACCCCTTTGTTTCCAAGCAATCACCTACATCTTTCAGCTGTTTTTGACCTTTTGGACAAACACATTTTGTTTTCCCACTTTTGGGCCAGGGACCTGATGGCTGATACAATCATAATAAGACATCCATGAGAGAATAATTTTAAAAAAGCAATTTCTATTCCAAATGTGTGCCAGATCCCCTGGTTTTTGACTCCCTGAAGTGTAAAGTCCTTAGTTTATAGCCTGATTATTTAATGGTTGTACTACTATACCAACTTGTGGTTGCACTTCCGTTTCCATTCTTGCTTAAAATAAAACAATGTTTTCAACATTCCCTTTTTTTTCAAATTTCTCTTCTAATGCACTAGCTTCCAATATAATCACATTATTAATTCAGCCTTGACTTGAAGCTTCAGACCTTCTGTGCAGGCATTTGTGCAGGTCTTTATGATTTATGTATTCCTTATTTGTCTGGATGAATAACTGAGTTTGTCAGCCAGGAACTATTGGCTAATTTATTCCATGCTAATTTATGTAGCATTTTGTTTTTAGATTGTTAGATACCTAGTGTAGATTTTTATGAAATGGACTGACTTTGATGCTTTCATGAGTATCTAAATTAATCTGTCAATCATGACACATGTAGAAAAGGGATGGGGCTTATATCACTCTACCTACCACAATACTGCTTTTATTAATCTGATCTCTTTTTACTCGTCCATAGACACTGCTGCCCCCTCCCCCCATGTACTTCATAGTATTTTGTAAAGGTCTTAAGTATAGAGTCAAGACAATACTATCATAATTATATATATCGGTAGTATTTTTATTTGGCTTTTTTTCCTCAAGAAAATAACTTTATTTTATCAACACAGATTGCTGATAGCAACACTGATAGATGACAGCTATTAGGATTTAAGTAACAGAAAGAAATAGAAGAATTTATGAGGCTTTGGGTCAAAGGGAAGCCTATTTATTAATTCAGTAACCCAAATTACTAAGGAGTATTTCATACAATTGTGTTCCATAGGTGGAAAATACAATTCAAGTTTGTATGTAGCTAGTATTTTTGATTGAAGCATGTAATGATTGAATGTAGTTAATATTTTTAATGATTGAGGCATGTAATGACTGTATGTAGCTAGTATTTTTAATGGTTGAAGTTAATCAGAAATGGAGTGTAGGAGGGAAGAAATCGCAAAGTATGCCTTTTCTAGTTCTTATATTGTAAAATAGCTACGAACTTTGGCAATATCCATGTATATGTAAATAGATAATTTAGATTGCACATGTGATTTTTTTTTCACCAGAACCGAACCAGTATTTTTCGACCTCTGTCAGTCCAAACACTAAGAACCTCATCTTTCCTCTCAGCAAGCACACTTTCAAACACTTTCAAAATTAATTCTTTCAGCTTTTGTCATATGAAAATCCTGTAAGACAGAGACGCTATTAGAATCGACAAATGAAGGCTCCATTCTTCTCTAGCCACAACAAAACATCCCCTGTCCTACATCCTGGCACCACAGTCCCTAAAAGCAAACAAATTCTTTGTGACTTGTTTTGTTCCACTGGCAAATTTCCCCCTACCCGTTCTCTAAGCACAAATAAACAAGCTCCCAATTAAAAAAAATATCATTCATCAGTCTGGTTAAAAAAATGCAAGGACTATGGCAGGGGTAGGCAACCTTGGCTCTTTTATGACTCGTGGACTTCAACTCCCAGAATTCCTGAGCCAGCATGGCTCAGCTTGGAAACCTCTCCCTTTCCCCTCAGCATGGCTGGCTCAGGAATTCTGGGAGTTGAAGTCCACAAGTCATAAAAGAGCCAAGGTTGCCTACCCCTGGACTATGCTCTACATATGTCAACATGGGAACAGATAAAAAAAAAACTTATTATGAGCTCCTAAGTCATTAAGAGAGCATTGACTTAAATAAAGGAGGAACCATTCACGATTGTGTTGATTGGCCAAGTCAGATGACAGCTGTAATGCGAGCATATTTTATTTAATTAACAAACAGGTATTACAGGTCCTGGACTGAAACTAGCATTTTGTATACCGATGCCTCATATGGGTACATCCACATAAGTAAAATGAGTTAATCATCGCAGAATGTAAGATTAATATGGAGCAATAAGATATTCAAAATATAAATAACCCATTCACATATAAGAACTGCAACTTTATATATTGATTAATAGCAAGGGGAGTGGGGGATTGAAGAAGAAAATATTTCCCTGTCTTTTTTCCCTTCTGGATTCTCAGGTTTTGTTCATAATTCAAAAGCAAGTTACAAAAATATAACACAATAACTCTCTTAAATTAACAACTGCCTTTAATTGTCAGCTGCCATAAACTACTTGAAAGACTAAGGAATCATTTTCGCTCGTTTTCTCGGAAAACTCTAAAAGTTAAACAAAAACCTCTTTTTAATAAACAGTTATTTCAAGAGTGTATGAAAGAGGTATATTTATATATTTTCTTAGCATTCAACAAAATCGTTCTTTATATTACTAATAAAATATATAGTTAATCACATACTCTAAAGTCTGTACTAGGCACTTATCTCCAGCTTTTAGGATAAAAGCAAAGCTGCATTTACTCCAGTTTATTTCCACATAAATTACACAGAGGGTTGGTCAGGACCTTCCAGTCATATAGTCCAACCCCTTGCCCAGTGAAAGAATCCTTATAGCAACCTGGACAAGTGGCTAACTAGAAGGAGAGAAGAACTAATGAGAGAAGATCCAATCTTGAAACAAGGGGGGATGTCCCGATTGTGACAACTGTTAACCTGTGGAACACCCTGTCTCATGAACTAGTATCACCAGAAGTTTTCAAGAAAAGGTTGGTCAGCCATGTACAGGTATTCTTCAACTTATGACTGCAACAATATTGGAGCAGATGCAGTGTAGCCTGTAAGGCACCTTTGGCTGTTGTAAATAGTCACATTCCATAGTCATGTGGTTGAATTTCAGGCACTTGGCCACCTATTTTGCATTTACAACCTGCATTTTGCATTTACAAATCACAATAATGCGATCACCATTTGCAATCTTTTCTGCCACTTTCCCCAGGAAATCAGTGGAGGGAGGTGTGTTGGAGGAATTCATCCCATTGAATTCATTTTATCACTTACTTTGAGGGCACAAAATATACAGGAATCTCCCATGCATTTATGGGTTGTAAGTTGTCGAAAACTGCGTCGAAAAATATCAAGATGCCAGAGAACCTAGAAAACAAAGCATTATTGTTTTTAATCAATTTTCTTCAGAATATTTTAGGCAAGAAAACTGATTTTAATAACATCTGAGAGTATAAAGCATAACTCCAATTGAAAGCATTCGGTACATACATTCTAAGTAATCGGTTGATAAGGAAAATATTTCCATGTAAAGTGATAGTTTTATAATCCTTATTGTGGATATATAGAAAATCAGAAAATCCATTTACTTAAATGTTACCATTTAAACATAAAAGGTTGTTTTTTTTTAAAAAAGTGAGAAATAGTGCAATGTATTAATATGAATGCAACGCAAGGGACGGAAGAGAGGCGAGGTGAGGAGGAGACAGCAATGATACAGGCAACAGTCCTTCCCCTTCATACAGCACAGAAATATTCATAAGAGGGGGAACTGGACTGGAAAGGGATAGAAAGAGAGGCAATTCTACCTATATAAAATACCAAAGTAGTAAGGACCAAGGTAGCTGGATTAGTAAGAACAGAAAAAAAAAGATGTAAAGGGGAAAATTTGTAGGGGATGGAGATGACATAAAAGGGGAACCTGAACTGGGAATGGTGGAAAGAGGGAGAAAAATTATCTCTTATTTTATGAGTAGGAACTGACTTGAGTGGGAAGAATTAAGAAAAACTGAATCAAGGCGGTAAGAATCATGGCAGAAAAAACAGAATTTGCTTGGATGGGCATCATAGCAATGGTATCAATAATGAGGAAGACTGCTCATCCATATGCTATATACAATGATGCTTAAAGATCTGTGGACCTGTTTGAATTTTCAATATTTGTGCGTAAATATGACCTAAAATGTGATCTATTCGAAGATACTTTGGCCACGTACAAATATGTAGCTTTGGATCATTTCCCTCAATCAATAAAACCAGCAAGTATAATGTTTATGTCTCATATAATTTGGTTCTCGTTATCTAGCTTTAGGATTTATGAAAAAAAAACATAGAAAATTCAAAAGGAATTACAAACATTTAAGCACCACTGTAATTATTCCTTCAACCAGTATATACTCAGCATTTATTCAGTAAATGCTGCTGCACTTTAACAATAAATTGGCATGCCTTTGCAATAAGGAAGTAACACCAAGGGTAAAAGTAAGAGCCAGTTTGGTATAGTGCAGTGATGGCGAATCTTTTAGAGACTGAGTGCCCAAACTGCAACCCAAAACCCACTTATGTATCGTTGGGTGCCGGGTTGGCATGGCCCATTGGGTCGGCGTGGCTGTGGTGGTAATGGCAGACTGGGTGGGACTAAAAAGTTTAATCAATCAATTCCAACTTTGCGAGAACTTCCCCCCCCCCCCAGAAGTTGAAATTGATTGATTGATTGAACCTTTCCTTTTTTTTTGCACACGGCAGCGGAGGCCTAAAGCGAAAAGGTTTTATAAAACCCAGCTGAAGGCCTAGGACTGGGGCAATGGTGCGCGTGCCCACAGAGAGAGCTCAACGTGCCACCTGTGGCACGCGTGCAATAGGTTCGCCACCATGGGTATAGTGTCTAAGGCAGGGGTCCTCAACCCCTGGTCCGTGGACCGGCACCGAGTCACGGCATGCCAGAAACCGGTCCACGCAAACAAGCAAAGCCCCATCAGTGGGATGCAGGCAGTACATGAAACCACGTCTCCTTTGGTCCGTAAAAAAACCTCTCTGGTGCTCAAAAGGTTGGGGACCTCTGGTTTAAGGCATTAGGCTAGAAATTGGGAGACCTTGAATTCTAACTCTGCCTTACGCACAAAGCCAGCTTGGAGATCTGGGGCCAGTCACTGTATCTCAGCCCTAGGGAACAAGCAATGGCAATCATTTCTGAAAAACCTTGCCAAGAAAACAGCAGGGGCTTGTGCAGGCAGTCTCTGAGAATCACTCCCAATCTAAATTCTACAAAATCTGAACTTAGTAGACAATTTCCCTTTTCTGCTCATTGATGCCTTTATCACATTAATTAGATCATTTATTTTTAAATTCACAAATAGATTATCTGATATACGGACATATCAGATAAATTAAAATAAAATCATATACACTGATTTACACAGCATTTCTTTGAACCAACTTCCTAGAAATTTATCATCACTGGTAAGGATTGTCACATTTAGAGTTACATAAAGACTTTTGAACCGATGATTGCTAACCATCAAGATTACAGCTCTCATTTTACAGCCACTGAGATTTAAACTGGGTCCTTTTCATATCGAAAGTCAGCAAAAAACAAACAAAAAACACCAATCTCCTGACAGATCTTAGTTCCACTCTGTAGTTTTAGACAATGTCTCAGCTAAATTAGAGTTCTTAGGCATGGATGAAACCTCACACACAATTGTTGCCCACTGGAATGAAAGAATGGCAGGCCACCACATTCATCCATTTCCTCAATGCTTTAAACTTTTAAGTTACTTCTTCCTGCCATTCCAAATTGAGAGAGACTTTGTGAGTCACTACAGTTTGGGGCAGCTGAAATAGATTTACGTAACAGTTACTTCTTGCTTTAGAACTGGTATTTCGAACCTTGACAATCTCAGACACTGCATCATCTTCTTTATTTTCTTTTCTTTTCCCCTCCAAGGCTGAAAGCATTAAATGTTTCTTCCTCTTCCGTGATCCACTTTCTATTTCCACTTCTCCTCCTCACTTCAAAATTCTCCACTCCTTCTTCCTGACTGGCCACGATAAAGAAGTTATTTACTTTATTTCTATACTCACCCTCAAACTGTTCAGAGGGGCAGTTCCTATATCTCTTTTGTTAATCATTAAAATTGACTCTTTCCCTCCCTAAAACTAGTCCCCTTCTTCTGAGTGTTGATGGGTGCAGAAATCCAATTGTACTGCCAGTTTAATAGCCAAGGCTCGTCAGGCTTCTTTAAGGAGACACGATCCCTGTACAGCATTTGCTCTCTCCCAAAAATATCCTGGCCTTCCCATTAATGAAATATTCCAATCTATCCCTTCTGTGCCATGAAGCTCTCCCCCCCCACACACACAAGATTTGATGGAGCAAAAGAGGAGAATTTCCAAGGTCAGGAAAGAACAGTGGAAAACTGTTCTTTGCTGTTGTAGGGAATGATAATAATTAAACATAGTAATATTTCATGGTAGTCCTTGACATGTGGCAGTTACTTATAAAGTTGAAGGAAACGATATTTCAAGGTCCCCGTGGGGAAAGGCTGGGTTGCAAAAAAATCAAATTTTGTTTGTACATCAAATTTATATAGCCACCCATCTCATATGAAATGACTCCGACTGGATACAACAAGACTACTAGAGGACTATATATATATATATATGTGGCGACCTGCTCTCCAACCAGAGATGGGATGGAATAGGCATGTCCAGCGGTCCACATCACGTGCCCCCCACTTTGCGTGCTGCCGGTCCACATCACGTGCCCCCCACTTTGCGTGCTGCCGGTGCCACCACAGCGCTGTGCTGAAGGGCCGGCTCAGTATTTACAGCGGGCTATGCAGCCCCTGCTGCCAGACGCTGTTGGTCCCCGCGTGCCCACCGCCTCCTGTGCATGCGCCTTGGGGACCACCGGGCTGGATGGGGCCGGGGCCAGGGCGGCCGAGGCCAGTCTCTTGTCATCTCCGGGGCATTCCTGCAGGCCAAATATTGGCCAATCACGGGCCTTGTGTTTGACATGTATGGTCTAGTCTCTTTGTCAACTCTACAAATGAGCATGGCTCATTTGTAATTATTTTCCTTCTCATTTTTCGGTTGCCACATAGAACAGAGAGAGGGGGGTTGTCCAGATGCTTCGCTAATCAAAATAATCTTTTGTTACATGGGAACCAAGGTCATTGGCTGCTCCCGAGACTGCAGGCCCGGCATTGCATAAAAAGCCCGCCAAGAAGATGTATTGGGGAACGTAGTTGTTTGCATAGTTTTAGAGGTGGGATTTTTTAACTTTGTATTGGGGAATTGTTACATGTGTCTCCAGACTTGGTTTCACTTTTGACGTGCCGATACTTTGTAACTAATAAACATGTTCTTTGAGGAATTTGCAAGCCTCAGAGTTCTGCTTTATTCGTCTCCGCCTGTCGGAACCATGACATTAAACCAAGTCTCATAAAATTTCATTTTCTCAGGGTGCTGGGCCCCGACGGCCTATCTTCTCACTTTTGGGAGAGTGGTAAAGACTCGGTGAAGACTCGAGATGGAGGAGAAAATTGAAACCGCTGCTAGACGCAACGGGACTCAGGCTGTCAGAGCACAGGCTGGCGCTCCAGCCACTGAAGAGGCGTCACTGGCAGGGACCCAAGGAAAATTTGCATGCATGTCCAGCAGGCCCATTAGTGGTGTCACCTCACAGTTTCATTACCTGCAGCTCCCCAGAACATCAGTGAGCACCTCAAGCACCAACAAATTCACCATTGTCTAGAACAATGATGGCGAACCTTTTAGAGACTGAGTGCCCAAAACCCGCTCCAGCCCGCCCCCGCTCCACCCCCTGGCCTGCCCGTCCCGCCCCAACCCCACCCACCCACAGGGCCACCCACTGTCTCCATGGCCCACTGCAGAAGATTGCCCAGGCGGCCGTGCAGCGCCATGGCACCCATGCCCTCTGCCTGCTCCCTGCAGCATCATCTGTGTGCGACGGGGCACGAGGGCGGAGTCTTGCCCCTGCTGCCTAGCTGCCATGTGCTTGGCTGCGCTGCTCCGTGCAGGCCACACCCGGGGGCGACTCTCCTCTGGGGGGGCTGCTGGTGAGGAGGCTGCAGGGGGAGGAGGGGCTGGGGCGATGGCGCGCATCCCTACAGAGAGGGCTCTGAGTGCCGCCTCTGGCACACGTGCCATAGGTTCGCCACCACTGGTCTAGAATGTCTGTCTTCTTCAGGGATGTGTGGATCAAGAGACAGAACTAGAGATGTACACCTTGCTGTCAGACAGCCTTCCTACCAGGATTACTGAAACAGCCCTGAGAGCCCCTGGCTCTTAGCTCTGAGGACTTCAGTATTCACACTGAAAGTGCTGCTTCTGATATGACTCTCAGCACCTCACTGCCTCCATGACAATTAGGGACAAAACTATGTTAAAAGTTGGCCCAAACCACAAAGCTATGTTGTATTTGGTGCAGTTTTTAAGGTCGATTCGAGTATGGAGAACATACTAATTTCAGCTCTGTCAGGAGGCTTCGTGGTATCCGAAGCAGAACATCCAGATTCAGCCAGAGTTTCATTCCATACAGCATTAACCTTGCGAATGCTCAAGCTTCCTCCATCCGTTATATATTCAAGATGGACAATATTTAATATTTATTGCTACTTACAGTATATGTAGGGATGTGGATCTATAGATATGTTGTTCATAGTATGTTTAGGTGTGTGTCATGTATGTGTTTCACTTTGAGAGCGGGCAACTAAGTTTCATTTTTGATGTGTGCCACACTATAAAAATGACAATAAAGGTTATCTTATCTTATATCTGAAGACCAACATCAAAGTATTTCTCTGCCAGTTTGGGTGATTTTATAGGAAAATGATATGTAGGTATCATGAATTTGAAAGTAAGCTGAACTATACTTTTGATCCTTCTTGGGTACTAAATGCTAACTCATGTTAAGAAGAGTTCCCTGAAATAGGAATCAGTTAAATATACACTTCAATCTGGCAATGGAAGGAAATAAATATGTTTTTTCCTGTGTGACTCTCACTGAAAAGCATATATTTAAGCTTTCATACCAGCAGATGGCTTTTACTTCCTATCCAAAACATAAATAGATTATTAGACTGTTTTGCCATTTTTTCAGATAAAAACTGCTCACGTGTGTTTGAATTTGTACTCTATATTTCCTATCTCTCAGTGATGGCGAACCTTTTAGAGACCGAGTGCCCAAACTGCAACCCAAAACCCACTTATGCATCGTTGGGTGCTGAGTGGGTGCGGCCATTGGCTGGGTGTGGCCCATTGGCTGGGCGTGGCTGCAGTGGTAAAAAGTTCAATCAATCAATTTCAACTTTGCAAGATCTTTTTTTTCCCGCAAGAAGTTGAAATTGACTGATTGATTGAACCTTTTTTTTTTTTGCACACGGTGGCAGAGGCCTAAAGCAAAAATGTTTTATAAAACCCAGCTGAAGGCCTAGGACTGGGGCGACGGCGCATGTGCCCACAGAGAGGGCTCTTAGTGCCGCCTCTGGCACCTGTGCCATAGGTTTGTCACCACTGCTATATCTAATGAAATGAGAGACATTCTGTTTAGAATAGTGATCAAGGCATCAAACTAGAAGCCAGGTGACTGTGAGTTCCAGTCCCACCTTAGGCACAAAGCCAGCTGAATAACCTTGGGGTAGTCACAATATCTCAGCCTTAGGAGACAGGCAATGGCAAATCACTTCCAAAAAATCTTGCCAAGAAATTTCAGGTAGCTGCCAGGAGTAAGTACTGACTTGAAGGGGAAAAAAAGTGAGAAGAGAGGAGAGGAGCTCTCACTTAGTCTAGCGGGATAATTTAGGCACATGAAGCAATTTGTTTGTGCTACAAAGATCCAGTTTGCAACTGCAGCTGCCAAAAGGCTTGGGTAAAACAACAGAGCCTGGGGTTTTTTTTGGGAAAGGGGAGGAGCAATGACATTATTTGATATCCAGGAAAGAGGAAGTTGGATCAAACAGTTTACCACTGACTAGCCATTATTGTGAGATATTTCTCAGAAAATTGAACCTAGGAAATGGGAATAGTCCTTTACTCTGAGACAACTGGCTTTTGGTTTTCCCAACTAAAAAAAACGGTTGCTGGAATTGCTGGAACATGGTCCCCAAGGGCCGCTGACGCGCTCCCCGCCACCGGCAACCATGCAAGCCCTTGCAATTGCTCCAGCCGAAGAAGCAAGTGGCTGGGAGGCCGCGGCAGCGCCTACCTCCTGCGCCCGTCAGCTGGCGACCCCCGGACCTGCGCCCGTCAGCTGGAACGTCAGGCAACGCTTTGGCCAGTGCGGAGGGCGAAGGGGAGGCCGCTGCAGCGCCGAACTCCTGCGCCCGTCAGCTGGCGACCCCCGGACCTGCGCCCGTCAGCTGGGAGGTCTGGAGACGGAGCCGGCTGGCGTGGAGGGCGATGGGGAAGCGGTGGCTCGGCGGGCGGGGTCCTGCCTGTGCGCGAATGTCAGGCCCACCCGCCCCATCTGTAAAAGAAAAAGTCTTCCGCCCAAGCATAACGCCAGCAGTTCTGTGCCACAGAGGCTTGAGACACGGAGGCGCGGGACGCGGAGCGGCGCGGTGGGAGGCGGCAGGACGGGGGGAGGGGTTACCTGCATCCTGCCAGCCAAACTCTGGAAGTCTGCCTGAATACCCGTATTTTCCGGCGTATAAGACGACTGGGCGTATAAGACGACCCCCGACTTTTGAGAAGATTTTCAGGGTTTAGAAAGTCGTCTTATACGCCGGAAAATACGGTATCTCTTTTATCCACCTGTCAGCCTTATTCACAAAGTTTTACATGGAACATTCATGTCTCTTATTATTTTCACATGCAAAGAAATTAAAAGAGGATTCCAATAACCTGTCAAGAATTCATTCAAATGAAGCACACACAGTTGTATCTGTGCTTACTGTACTATTGTGGCAATAGCAAGAAAGCAGGAAAGCAATTTTGGTGTCTGATACATTCTGAAAAATGGTCAACGGGAAAGGTAAAACTTAATACCAACCTTCTTATTTTAAAAATGATAGCAAAATATTCACACAAGGACTCAAATCCAAAATACTAAATATCTTACATCTATATTGAATATATGTATGTTATATATACTATGTCAAAGAATCTGAAAACTAGATTAAGAGAAGCTAAGTTTATAACAGGGTCCAACAAAATTAGACTCCATGGCACTGAAGTATATATGCTTTTAAAACAGCATAGCATAGGAAACATTAGAAAGTTTTTTTATATAAAAGACAGGCACATTATTATTTCAGATTTCTTACCTGTAATGCACTATTCAGGAAGCAGCTATTTTGTCCTGGCTCATTGCTGAGACCTTTACTTGGTGCTATAGATGTTGTATTTCGTGGAGTAAACATGCCTTGCACGCCGCCCTGTCCCACAGAAAAATAATTTCTCTTCCAAGACATGTTTCACATTTGGATTTAGAATATAAAACTGGTTCTATAGGTGTGCCTGTGGCTTAAAGATTCAAAATCAAAACTTAAGTTACACAATATAAAACTTCCTCCACATTCCTTAAGGGTATTTCATGAAGTGACACGAACGCTGTATTTCTTTTAAATCCAGAAATAATACTATAACAATAATATTGTTACAGTAATAAGCTCTGACAGGAAAACATCTTGGTATCTAAAAAAAAAAAGGGGAGGGAGGCAAACTAAATAAAATTATAGTTTTTCCAAGAATGATCATAATGAAGTCCTATATCTGGTCTAAAAAGTTTATTCGAAGAGTGAAACATATTCAAAAGCACTAAAAACCAGAAAAATAATCTTCTGTTCTTTTTGTAATCTCCGTAGACTAATAAGCAGGCAAAATGAAATAAGGAAAAAAAAACAACCTCTGGCAAGCAAAAACCTCTTGTTGTTTTCTTCCTGGAATATTGGTACAGGCAACTTCACTTTTTATAAGCAAAACAGAGATTTAATACTGTCTTAATTCCGGCAGAAATGATCTTCTTGAAGTTCCTGTAATTTCATCAGCAAGTTTGAGTGGTATCTTCTGTTCTTCCTTCTCTTGTTGAGTAGAATGCCTAGCTTTGGCAGAAAGTGAGAAAGAGAGAGAGAGAGAGAGAGGGGAAGAGAGAGAGAGAATAATCAAAGGCTTGCGTCATTTAATTAACATTTTGGTTTTCTTCTGCCAAGATCAGCATTCCCTCACCTCACGTCTCACCAGAAACTCAGGAACAAAATCAAAGGAAGGGAAAGCAAAATCCCACCAAATGACCAAAGAAATACAATAACTACACTTTCCCATAAATATTACTAAAACATATTGAATGGGACGAATTTGGATAACAGGAAATGGTAAGTAAAAAGTGGTGTGTATTTTTATTGATTTGGTTACATTTGTTGCTAGGATAACAAAAATTTGATTTAAAAAAATCAATTCTTTTTATTCAAATGGATTATATTACACCACTGTCAAATTGGTGATGGTTAATTGAGATTCTTTTATTTGGTCCAGAAGTACAGTAAGAACTACAACAGCAGGATGCACAATGAGTCTGCAACTCATTCTCTAAATTGCAGGTAGCCTGCAAAATAAATTTTGAAACCAAACAAAACAAGAAACATCTATACATCATGCTAAGTCAATCTGCTTAACTGTGTTTTGTTGAAAGTCTTTTGCTTCACACATCATGCATGATGGGTTTATGTATTAAACAAAATAAAAAACGGTTTGGTTTTGATTTAATATATTGTATAAATCAGTGGTGGCGAACCTATGGCACGGGTGCCAGAGGTGGCACTCAGAGCCCTCTCTGTGGGCACACGCGCCGTTGCCCCAGTCCTAGGCCTTCAGCTGGGTTTTATAAAACCTTTTTGCTTTAGGCCTCCGCCGCCGTGTGCAAAAAAAAAAAAGGTTCAATCAGTCAATTTCAACCACGCGGGGAAAAAGAGATCTTGCAAAGTTGGAATTGATTGATTGAACTTTTTAGTCCCACCCAGTCTGCTGTTACCACCACAGCCATGCCCACCCAATTGGTCACACCCACACAATGGGCCACACTCACCCGGCACCCGACGATGCATAAGTGGGTTTTGGGTTGCAGTTTGGGCACTCGGGACTCTAAAAGGTTTGCCATCACTGGTATAAATTATGACTTATGGATTAACATGTACAAATTCAGCCAGGTGTACTTTATTAAAAAATTATAACTAAAAATTATAACTAAAAATTATAACTAAAAATTTTACTAAGCCAGGTCTTAGTAAAAATCAGACCTAAGATTAAATTATGGTTTGCAAACCAGAATTGGTTGATCTTACTGATTTTGGCAAAAACAAACAAACATATTATGGATTATTTATTTATTTATTTATTTATTAATTTAATTTATATCCCGCCCTTCTCCTTGCGGACTCAGGGCGGCTAACAACCAAATAAAATACTAATCACAAAAAACTACAAATTAAAAACATAGTTAAAAACAAATATTAATAATTGGTCTAGTAGTTAAAAATTACTTTAAAACCCCCATTAAAAATTTTCCCCTAGGCCAGTCCTGCAAGTTGGAATAACCATGTC